TTATGCAGTGATAACACAGCCTCATGGACACGCCGTAAGTAGATTGTCTAATCGTTGGGTTATTCCTTCTGGTGTTCCTCGTAGGTTCTTCTCTCTCAGGATAGCTGAGGAAGGACAATGGGAGTTCAGGGACTTTGGAAGCTGCTCGAATGCGCTGGGAGACCTATCAACCCAGAAATGCTAGAAGGAAAAATTCTTGCTTATGCAGTGATAACACAGCCTCATGGACACGCCGTAAGTAGATTGTCTAATCGTTGGGTTATTCCTTCTGGTGTTCCTCGTAGGTTCTTCTCTCTCAGGATAGCTGAGGAAGGACAATGGGAGTTCAGGGACTTTGGAAGCTGCTCGAATGCGCTGGGAGACCTATCAACCCAGAAATGCTAGAAGGAAAAATTCTTGCTGTTGGTATCCTTTGACAGTAAAGCTGAGGAACCGAAGCTGTTAGGGAGATTTTAATTATCTCACATATTTCTGTATAAGCCATTTGCTTTAGTTTAAAAAAAAAAAAATCATGACAATATTTTGATAAGTAGATGTTTTATAATATCATATATGTACAAGTAGCTGCTTTATAATATGTGGAATACTAAGCTTTTTTTTAAAAAATCTTTTATAAAAGAGACTTTTTGAATAGGTTCCTTACACGAGTGTTGGAATAGGATTTTATGCTTTATAAATAAATGTGCAGCTCTCAGTAGGACTATAAGATGGAAAAGTTAAAATACTTTTCAATCAACTTTCCTATCATATATTGGTCACGTGCCAGAAAGACGTGACAAGAAGTTACATTTCATTAAGTTGTAAAAATAACTGGGGAGGTACTGCTGCTGCACGGTTGTTTCAACTCTGCTTTTTGTCCGGGGCGATAGGGGCAAGAATTATTCACAAGATCACAAACATTTGGATAACCTTGGCTTTGATAAGCCAAGGCTGGAACAGTGAGCAAAAACCACTTAGTAAGCATGTGAGATGGCACGTTTTTCCTCTTAACGGTACTTTAAGATATCAGTATTTGGTTGAACCAAGCAATAAAGGGAGCCAGAGATCGTGGTGGTAGTTCCGTACGAAATGCTCATCTCCTCACTCTGTTCCATCGACTCTGCAAGTTACTGTTTTTCCGAATTCGACCTGTCTTTGTTTTTGATGGAGAGCCACCGCTTCTGAAGAGACAGACCTTGGTAAGTACCTTTGCCCAGTTACTGCCATGCAGACCAGGTTGGATGTAGGTTGATACCAAGTAGCCACTTCCAGGTTCCTTCTTGCTCTGCTTACTATTCTGAGCTGTGAGGATGAAAGGCTTGAAGTGTGCTGCTGTGCGGGTGTTCTTTGCAGTCCTGGTTTTGGTTAGTTGGTGGAGTGTGTAGCAGCTCCCTTTGGATACAGTCCGGTTTGGTTTGCATGGCAACTACATTCCGGAGAGGTGGATGATGGCATAAGCCTGGGTCTTGCTCCAGAATGGACCCAAATGCAACTCTTGCAAGCCTGTGTACCCAGAAGCTGAAAACTGTTGCCAAGTTCCATGGAGGAAACTGACACAGAGAGATATAAAGGATCTGAAGGCTACCTCCCCACTGGTGTAGGAGAAGTTAGGAGTTGCTTGTAGACTCAGCACACAGAATTACAGCAGTGATTCTCTGGATGTGTATCTTCAGCATCCAGCATAATCTGGTTGGTGTTAATCTTATTTTCACAGGCTAAGCGAAGACAAAGGAAGGAAATCGCCAGCACTGATTCCAGGAAAACTGCAGAGAAACTCTTGAAAACATTTCTGAAGAGACAGATTATCAAAACTGCGCTTAAGGGCAAAAGGCAAGAATAAAAATTAGTTTCCCCTGTTTATAAGTGGCAGGTAAGTTCTTTTTTTATGTAGTTACTCATCCCCTTTTTTTTTTTCCCCTCCTTAAGCAATGAAATTTTGCCCAGTATTACACAAGTTCGGAGAGAAGAAATTGATGATATGTATGTACTGCCACCTTTAGAGGATGAAGAGAAGAACAGGTAGGTAGAATTAAGAAAAATAGCTTAAATGGCTGTAATAAACTTGGATAATTGCATGAACCACATTTTTATTGATGCTACTGAAAGGTCTTTGACCCATCAGACTCCTTAATATATAAAGTACATTTCTTTAATTTGTATTTTATTTCAGTTTCTTTTTGGAGAGTTTAGTTTTCAGCTCTGGATACAGAAGCCTTCTAGTTATGTATGGGAGGTAACAGAAGAAGCTTTCAGCCCACAGATTAAATTTCTACACTGGCTTCACGTTTAAGCACGGGAGTGCTGCCTCCATCTTTGTGGCTGTATCTGCACAGCTAAATGGAACTGATTTGTTCGAGCGTGGGCAGCTGGTGCGTGGGAGCTGGATCCGGGTTCGCATCCCCTCCTTTGGTAGCGTTGGCGTGTTCAGCAGCAGTAGGCTCTGTGTGTACTTGTCAGACCTGTGACATTTTACGTTGCGCCGAGTGGGAATGCGGAGCTATCCGTTAGACTACTCTTTGCACGTCTTATTTGGTCAGCATTTAAAGCATATATAAGAATCAGGTAATGGCTTAAACGACAACAGTTGTTTCAATCCAGTTTTAACTGACGTAAGTCTACCTGCCTGCTTTCTGTTCAGATCTCTGGGGCGTGTGTGTGTGTGTGTTTTGTGTATGTGTGTACTTTCATTGTGTGTGTGAATTTTTGTACATACCAGTGAAGGGATGACTAATGTCATAGAATCACAGAATGGTTTGGGTTGGAAGGGACCTTAAAGATAAAGACCATCTAGTTCCAAGCCCCCTGCCATGGGCAGGGACACCTTCCACTAGACCAGGTTGCTCGTTTTCTTCTCTCCGAACATCGTTGCACATCGGACTCGGAACGCGCTGCCGCTTCTGAACACGACAAAGAAAACACCCCAGGGCTGGGATGAAACACTTTTTTATGCCACTGGCCTCTCAAAGGCTCTCCTTGGCAGTGTCCCGCTGTGGGACAGCGTCGGCATGGAGGTTGTCAGCGTGCTACCTTATAGAATCATAGAATCATGGAACGGTTGGGGTTGGAAGGGACCTTAAAGACCATCCAGTTCCAACCCCCCTGCCATGGGCAGGGACACCTTCCACTAGACCAGGGTGCTCAAAGCCTCATCCAGCCTGGCCTTAAACACTTCCAGGGATGGGGCATCCACAGCTTCTCTGGGCAACCTGTTCCAGTGCCTCCCCACCCTCTCTGGGAAGAACTTCTTCCTGATATCTAATCTAAATCCCCCTGCTTTCAATTTAAACCCATTACCCCTTGTTCTGTCACTACAGGCCCTTTTGCTTAAGACAGGAACTTACTTTTCTAGTGAAATATCAACAGCTGTGTTTCTCTCTGATTTTTAGCTCAGAGGAGGAAGAGGAAAAAGAATGGGAAGTGAGAATGAGCCAAAAGAAGATGTTGCAGGTAAGTGCATCCTGATGACCCTATTACTGTGAACAGTCCTCTCATTCATGTGCTATGCTTAAGAGACAAACAAAATGATGGTGTTTTTTTCTTTTTTTAAAAGTGTTTGGAGGTATAGGTCTTCCTACTTATCAAGCAAACAAGTTAATTTTCAGTACTCTATAAATTCCTACTAATAAGAAAATACAAATGTAATTTTCTGCACTAGAATACAGCAGAATAGGAATTTCTTAAGGTATTGTTTTCTTTTTTTTTTTTTTTGACTACATTCTCTGGATATGTGGAGAAGAAAGTCTTTTGTAGTGATAGAAGTCAAATGAATGCATCTGTGCACATGTTAAATATGCTTACATGTGCATACACAAGATTCTTATGCTTCTCCAAATATGAATTGATGTTGAACCACTTTGGTCCTAGAATTTTCACAGATAAATTCTGTATTGCCTTCTGATGTGCTGATCTCATGGGAAGAGCAGAAAAGAAATAGGTAACCTAAGAAGAAGACAGAACGAATAATAAAATTTCTCTGCTTTCGTCAAAGTAAGAAATGTAAAAAACACCTCTTGGACATGCTGTTTATCTTTTGAAGTAGTTCTCATTTAGAAGGAGAACCTCTTTGTAAGGATAAATCGGACTAGCTGAGGCTATTGGACCTGCTTCTGTGATTTATACTAAATGTGTTTTTGTAGAAGGATAAACCCAAGTTTCTCTGTGTAGTGTACTTGAATAATTATGTGCTTTATTAGGTAGTAGTTGACCTTTGTTTTTTCTTAACTGTTTTCTTCAGAGTATAGGAAGTAGCAACAAAGATTGTGGTGGCATTTCTGTTGTTTGGAATGATGCTCTAAATATTTTATTGTTCTTACTGTACTGTAATATAAAATAGGTGTTTGTGGTGTTTTTTGTTTTTACAGGATGAGTTATTTCAAAATCCAAATGCTGTAGATATTGAATCAGAAGATTTCAAGAAGCTGCCTCCAGAAATAAAACATGAGATCTTGACTGATTTGAAAGAATTCACAAAGCGAAGAAGAACATTGTTTGAAGCAATGCCAGAGGTAATATTTAAAATAGTTTTAAAGCCATGAGAATGGAGCTATTGCCGTGATGATGACGACTACATAAGAGTATCACATCCGGAAAGCTTTACCCCCCGGCCTGTTCAATAAAATATGTTATGTTGAGGGGGAAGAAAAAACATCAGTGAGATAATGACTCTTAACAGAGCCTTCCTGTGTGTCTGTTCGGAGTCCTGTGGCTTGATTTCCACTAAAATTGCCACGGCTAATTCAGTTTGGCAGGAATGGAAGAAGTCACGCTGTCTCTTACTGCTCATCAGCATTAGCCACCAGATTCCAGTTGCAAGAACACGCTTCTGGTGTGGGTAAACCAGACAGGGTGAACACACCTTGAATTCCAAACCTTGCGGTTGTTAGGGGAGCTGGCAGCTGGAAAAAGGCTTTTGTAGCTTGGGCAGATGTGTTACTGAAGCTATTCAGAGGCAGGTGGGGGATCCCATGCTGCCACTTCTGCAATATCTTTTCAGAGAGCCGAGTGTAAAGATGCAATAGATGTCAGATCACATGATAGCCTGTGCCCATGTGTAAGCCAAGAACCATCATCTTAACAGGATCTGCAGGTGGATGGTTTTATAGTTGCAGTGTTTGTAGAGATGGGGACCAGCTCCGTTAGCCAGCCGAGTCTGTTGGTCACATGGTTGAGACCTCATGTTTAGCCAGTGTTCAGAACCGCTCAGCAGTACCTCTTGGAACTGTGTGTTACCGGGCTAGTGTTGCTGCTGCTTGGGAGTGCAGCAGCCAGGAAAAGACAGGTGCTACCTGCTTAAAGGAAACTCATAAGAGGCTCTCGAGGGCATGGTAAATGAATGTGCTTAAAAGGTGCAGTTAGTGGCATTTTATTTAAATTGACTTGGCTGTTTATTTTGGGGGTTTTTGGCGTTTTGTTTTTTAGGAGTCAAATGACTTTTCCCAGTACCAGCTTAGGGGTTTGCTTAAGAAAAGCAGCCTCAGTCGGTGCATAGAAAACGTACAGAAGGAGTTGAATGAACAGCACTCGGGCGAAATCCAAAGACAATACGAAAATGAAGGTGGTTTTGTGAAAGAAGTGGAATCTAGGAGGGTAGTCTCTGAAGATACTTCTCACTATATCCTAATAAAGGGTATGTCAGGTCTTAATTTTGTAAAACTTCTTGTTTGGTGTGCGCAGTCTGCAGCTGTCAGTTTTAAGAAAAACCTGAATGTTTTGTACAGGTGCATATAGCCAATATGTATGAAATTTGTGTTACAGTTAGACGTAATTAACTGACCTGTAAATGTGTAGAAAACTGGTTTAATAATCTTTATATAATGTTCATTATGTAAAATGGAATGTTAGTATAAAGCAGTTTTTTACTTAAAAAAAAATGATCAAAAAAACTTTTTCTTTCAGGTATTCAAGCAAGAGAAGCTGCAAGTAGAGACTTGGAAACTACTGCAGGACCCTCATCAAAAATGCTAGAGTTTACTAAATCGAATAAAATCCATGAATCTCCTGCTGATGCAAAGCCAGTTGCAGCTGACAAATTGCAGGCAGAGAAAGATGACAGCGCGATGGCAGCACCACCCTCCCCTCGGACTTTGCTTGCCATCCAGGCAGCTATGGTAGAAAGCAGCTCAGAAGAAGAACTGGGGGAGGACGGTACAGGGCAGTTGCACTTGGAGCAGTCTTTAACGGAGGAAGGCAGCGTGTCTCCAAGAACGCTGCGGGCAATTCAGCAGGCTCTGAGTGGTGATGATGAAAGGGAGGAAGTTGTTACTGTTAGAACTGATGGAGTGCTGCCAGAAAGACCAGAAGTGAAGGACTTTCTGCTTAGTAGCTCAGATGAGGAAGATCAGCTTCCTGAAATTGAGGAGGGGAAAAAAATATCTGTGTCTACAATTAATTTGTCAAACCAAGCGATTATTGAAGATGCTGAATTTGAACAAAAGAGTCAGGAGTTGGAAAAAAGTCATATTGCACCCAAAGATACCAGTATGTCCAGAGCTGAAAGCTATTCTTGTATTGACAATTCTAGAAAAGGCAAAGAAGATGTAGACAAAGAAGAAAATGGTTCCAAAATGGACTCAAGTTCTCTGGGAGACAAAGATATAAACTTACGCATGGAGAAGCCAAGCTGTTCCCCTGTACTAACTAGTATAGAGGGTTTGGTTCATGTTGAAACAACAGACCTTTCTAAAAATGAGGAAAACTTGAAAATTTCTGAAAATACAAAGGAAGTAGTTTCACAAGCAGAAGAGAATATATCTGAGGTACAGAAAGATAGTGGATTTCTACCAGAACAAAAAGGTCCTGAGGAGGAAAGAGGAGGGATATCACAGTCTGAATCAGACAGTGATTCTGATGGTACGTGCTTTTTAGTTGTGTAAAAAGATAAGGAAATAGGACATTATTGTATTTGTAATCAGCTGAAGTTAACCTTTGCTCCTAGCAAGAAATGCTTTAAAATACATCTATTCCTGCCTAAGTAGGAGGTGGTAAGAAAATCTAATCTGTGTTTTCCCCTTGGTGTTATGTTTTATCACTGAAACCTGAATATACAATACGGAGAACCCGGAAAGCATGCTGTTCTGTGTATTTAAGTGGTTTGTTAACGGTCAACCACTTGGTTTCTGTAATTTCACAATTCTTACATGTATTTACTGCATATAGCAAAAAAACCCAACCAAACCCAAAACTCAAAAATCACTGCTCAACTTAAAAATGCATATGGATGCTAGTTCTTGAACAGTTAGGAGGAAGCGGAAACCTTTATTTTCATTTTATAGGAAGCTTTATTGAAGTGGATGCTGAAATCAGTAATGAGGCTGTCTCTCCTACTAAATATGATGAAAAACTGGGTGATGAAACAGCACGTCCAGAAGTGGAGCCAGACAGCCACGGTACTGTCACACAGGACTTGCTGAAGGAGCCTGATGAAGTGCAGTTGGCAGACAGTCAGAATGCTGAAAGGGAAGATGGTGGTAAAGAAGCAGTGGACGAGTGGCAAGACATCAGTTTGGTAACTCCTCCTTGTTCTCTTTTGAGCTAGTGATGTCGTGCTGTGTCCCAGAGTAGTTTTTAAGGAAATCTCGGACAGCTTCTTACTGTTTTGTTGCTTTCTCATGCATTTATTAATTTCTGAGAACTTTTTATTTAAAGATGAGGGTTAACCATAATAATGTCTCTGAAATCAGTAAGGTTTTAGCACTCTGATGAGTATCTCTGGTCTTACGATTTACTGCATCAGAGAAGCTGTGACAATGTCCAAGAGTGAGTTAATGGAGCATATACTACTAGAGTAAGTGGTCGTAGACTTAGTGCTTGTTTAACTAAGTGTACCTGAATTGTTGAAATGATGAAAATCATGTTTTATTTTTCAGGAAGAACTAGAAGAATTAGAAAATGACCTTTCTGCTGAGCAGAGTATGCTTCAGGCTCAGAAACAACAGCAGGAACGTGTTGCTGCTTCTGTAACAGGACAGATGTTCTTGGAGAGCCAGGTAGTATTTGTTGAAACAATTCAGTTTGATAGAGGATGATGTGGTCTGCTCCTCTGCCCCAGTCAAACGTTTTCTCGAAAGCTGTTAGTAATTTTGCTTAACTACAGGTCAGAGATGTTTAACGGAGGTTAAATAATGCGTTCCATAAAGGCAAATTGTGTAAAATATATCAAAACACCACCCAAAAAGTGAATAGTCTGCCCACCGCTTCCTGTGAAGGCGGTGACTGATACGTTGTTTGGTTGGTTTTAACCTGCATCTTTACTTGATGGGAGCCCACGTAATTGTAACGCATGGATTTTTCTCCACGTTAAAGTGACGGTTATGGAAAGCTCAGTACTTAAGTATGCTTGTGTAATTAAGAGCTGATTCTAAAACTGTGTAGTAACAGTGGGATCAGGTGTAGTGTTTGACTTGCATGGCGCTGTCCGCCTGAGGTGGGTCAGTGGGATTTGCCCCTTGACTTAACTGTGCTTGGCGGTTTTTAGCAGAAGTTAAAGCTTAGCTATGAGAGGTTAAATACCTCCCAAGGATGAATCTAGCAGTTCTGAGTCAAGCAGAAGTATGATAGAAATTCATTTTTCAGATCAAATACAAAGTGATTTCTCTCCTTCCTACAGGAGCTTCTCCATCTGTTTGGCATTCCGTATATCGAAGCTCCGATGGAGGCAGAGGCACAGTGTGCTATATTGGACCTCACTGATCAGACCTCTGGGACAATCACTGACGATAGTGACGTCTGGTTATTTGGTGCACGACATGTTTATAAAAATTTCTTTAATCAGAACAAATACGTGGAATATTACCAGTACGTTGATTTTCAAAGCCAGCTAGGTAAGCCTCAGATATCGAATTGTTAAATGTGGTCTTCAGTAAGACAGCGCTGCCATGTGTCTTTTTGATGCTGTATTTCCTACAGAATTTTGAGTGTCTGTTACTACAGTGCCTGTTCTTTGGAGAGTCACTTAGACTCTCAAAAGTTGGGTTGATGCTTTTATTGCCAGGTGATCCCTCTGTGGATTTGCAGCTCTTAGTTACACTTGCGTTTAATACACTTAGTGTGGTAATCATCAAAGCTAAAGGTATGACTGTGGTACCAGTTTCTGGGTGAATATCAGCATGACTTCTGATGTGGTGGGAACATTATATACTGATGTCATCAGACTTAGGATCTTCCGGAAATGGAAGTTTAATTTTGGACATAGTGGCACATAATGTATAGAAGAGGATTCACTATATGTAGATGCTCTCTAAAAAGTTTTTCATTGGGTTTTTGGCGTTTTGTTTTAGCCTTTTTTTGGATTGCATTCATACCAGTCTAGTAAAATTGTTCCTAATTATGTTGATCTAGTAATCTTAGGAATGAACGCGCTTCAGTGTCATGTAGTGTATTAAGGGAAATATGAGCCAATTTTAACTTTTTCTTACTCCTTGTTGAAGCAGAAATGTGTTAAAGTCAGTTTTCAATGTCGAGGGAGGCTGATGACTCTTAGATAATACTTCAATGCCTTCAGCATGTAAAATTTCACATTTTCATGTGGTGAAATATACATCTTCAGTTTCTTCTCCTGGCAAATTGAATGAAGTATTTTTTTCCCTACTTACACCTGCTTGAGTATGCTACTGTAGCTTACTTGGAGGGATTGCTGTAAAAGCATGTGTGTGATTTTTACCTATTATTAGTGTAGTAAACCAGAGCTTGTAGTTATTTACTGGAATAAGAGAGTCACATTGGTCTTCATGTCACATTCTTCTGCAGTCTGTTCTTCTGCTCCTTTTTCACGAGTTGCACAATTCTTCTTTCTTGGCTGTTGATGGATATCCAGGCTGGCATGCTGATGGTCTCACTTTGTGTGCTTAGACACACGTCCCTCCTTTTCTCCGCTGAATTTCAATTTTCTTTTTATTACTATTTTCTGAAATCCAAACTCCTGAGGTTAGTCACTGAAAATCAGCCTGGTTGCTTACCAGCTCTTACAGCATACAGAGTAGAAGTGGCCAGCTGAGGAGTTCTTTCTCCTCATTTCACAAGCTTTTTTTGGTGGTCTTAATAACTGCGTTGGCACAGAGCAAATGGCTTCCACTTTGGGATCACTTTTAAGAAGCAGAGGCATGGGTATTATGGACAAACATTCAGAACTGAGGACTTGAATGTTTTTATTTCTGAATCAGGCATTATTAAATTCAGATCAGCACTGGATGAGAAAAGGACATTAACTAGAGAAATAAATGTAAAATAATCTCTTAAGTGTTAGAACCCAGAATTTCATGATGGTCTCCACGTTGTAATGCTTTAATTTTGACGAGGTGTGTTTGCCAGGCAAGCACAACTACTGGCGCTTGAGCTAGCGGTGGCTTGGACACTGCCCCAGAATATAGTTCAGTAAATTCTGATGTTGAATGAAATGCAGTTTTACAGAGTTAATGCCCCTGTGTTCCTTTTTGGTTTTGCCTCTCAGATAATTTGTTGGTTTTTAATTTGTAAGAGAACATGTGCTGAATCCACTGGTTTCATTTCCTTCATGCACTTTCTTCCACAGGGTTGGATCGAAGCAAGCTCATTAATTTGGCATACTTGCTTGGAAGTGACTACACTGAGGGCATCCCAAACGTTGGCTTTGTAACAGCGATGGAAATTTTAAATGAGTTCCCTGGGCATGGATTGGAACCTCTGTTAAAATTCGCGTATGCTTCTTCATATTTTGCCTTTTTATTTGTCTCTCCTTAATGTGAATATCAGTGAGTGTACTTCTCTGCTGCTTAAGCAGGCAACAAAACATACGACCATCATTAAGGAGACTAAGCTAACTGTAAAATATGTGACTCCGTTATATCGCTATTTGAAACGGCAGATAAATAAGGTGGCTTGTTGATAACAGCACTTGCAGTGAGACTAACGAAGACAATAGAAGAGCTGTAGCAGAACTGTGCGACTGCTTCCGAGTTCATTGCAGAGCTGGATCGCTAGTGGAGTGGAGGTTGTTTCTCCCTGAGTTTGTGAGGAGGTGCTGTAGCTTGCTCGTAGAGAAAAAGAGACTTGATGAGTGAGCAATGGATGACCTGCAGAGAGAGAGACAGGTAGGCTGTGGGGAAGAAGATGATTTGAAGAGGGACAAGCCAGTTGCATTAGCAGTGGCGAGGATGGTTAGAAGTTTTGTGGGTTTTTTATTTTTTCATTAAAAGTAAATGAAACGAAGCATTATAAGTGGGGGAGGTTTAGATTAGATATCAGGAAGAAGTTCTTCACGGAGAGGGTGGTGAGGCACTGGAACAGTTTGCCCAGAGAAGCTGTGGATGCCCCATCCCTGGAAGCGTTCAAGGCCAGGCGGGATGTGGCTTTGAGCAACCTGGTCTAGTGGAAGGTGTCCCTGCCCATGGCAGAGGGGTTGGAACTAGATGATCTTTAAGGTCCCTTCCAACCCAAACCATTCTGTGATTCTATGATAAGTGAGGATGAATTTAGGGGCTTCTGGCAGCTCATGGGGAGTTCAGGTGATGTTAGCTATTGTTGGCTTACAATGACTATGTTTACTGTATGTGTTCGTCATTTCTACTTTCAGATCATATGTCCCTTTGGTCATTTTTATGTAGAAATTTCCTGCCTCATCTCATGCAGTAACTAAAGTAGGGAGACTAATTAAGGCTATGGAAATTAGCATGGTGGCTCTTGATATTCCAAATTTTAAACATGGAGGTAAATGAATGCTTTCCTTTGATTTACAGTGATTGGTGGAATGAGGCTCAAAAGAATAAGAAGTTGAGACCTAATCCACATGATACCAAAGTCAAGAAGAAGCTGCGGGAGCTGCAGCTTTCCTCAGGTTTCCCAAATCCAGCAGTGGCCGAAGCATACCTGAAGCCTGTGGTGGATGAGACAAAGGGTTCATTCATGTGGGGGAAGCCTGATGTAGAGCAGATCAGAGCATATCCTTTTGCTGTATGGCAGGACTTGTTACCTAAAAGTACTCAAATTGAAGTTAATAAGGCTCATTAGTGAGTCAGTAATGGGCTGTCATATTGTTCACATCTCACTGGGGTGAGCATGTGCTGTCCTACGACGATACCAGCTCTGGACTGGAAGGGGATGCAGCCATGCCTGTGAGAGAGTGGGCTGCTTCCCTTTGCACGGAACAAGAGTCTCGGAGCTGGACTGAGGAGTTTGTTGTGATGCTACACTTCTGAAACGGTGCTGTGCCCCTTTCTAGACCTACAATGGGATTGTTTGCACGCTCCTGCTCTGTGTTTATCATCATTCACAAATAAGTTCCAAAACCTATTCACAAATGGTGATGCAGTCTGCCCTTTATCCCTAGTTATTCCCTGCATTTCTTGCAGTAATGTCTGTTTCTTGCAACTGTTGCAGCGTGAACTGCAGCAAACTGCTGAAAAGTACATGGCCATGCCTGCACAGCTAACAGTGTTTTAAACAGTAAATGAAACTTCTCCTGAGTGCAAGTACAAAAATAAGGTTTGTGTATTGATATTTTGTCTTATGGCAGTACGTTCTAGCCAAAATGAGTTCTGTCTTCCCTGAGGTTTGTTTTTGGAAATACTGATATTGGAGAAAGTTCTGTAACTAATGGAGATGTAACAATGTGATGAAGATATGTAGCATAATACTGGAACCATCCATGGAGGTCAGCTGTAGTAACAGAGTGTTTTCTCTGACCCTGTAGTAGAAAAAGCTTTGAAGTAGAGTAACTCTTCTCCAGACGTTGGTTTTCTGAGGAATTTTCATTTTATGTGTTTGCAAAATAGTAGTAATATACATTCTGTAAAGTTCCTTAACTTTCTTCACGTTCTGTCAGGATCACTTTGGCTGGACTAGGACAAAGATAGATGAAATCCTTTTGCCTGTGATGAAACAGCTGAACTTGCAGCAGGTAAAGTATAAAACTATGTACAATTTTCCCAGTTGCCCCTAAATTATAAGAGCCACATTTTAAAATGAACAACAAGGGTTTAATCTGACATACATTTCTCAGAAACTGGGGTTTGGATATTTAAATACATATATATTAACTTTTTTAAGAAAAAGTCATTAAAGTTACTTCTCTCATTCCTGTATGATTTGGGTGGGCTGTGAAGCACTCTGCATCATTTCAGTTGTTGGTTTTTAAATTTTGGTATCAATCAAGCACCTATCTCAAGTTCAGGTTGCTGTTGGTTCTGGATGTAGCTGAAACCACAGGTACCTCAAGCACATTTAGTGCTTCTAAAAGACAACCTGCTGTCTCTAAGAATGATTTATGAAAATGCCCCTGGGATTTTGGTGAAGTGAAACCAACCATTTGGTACCATCCATACCCTTGGAGAAGGATATACTGAACCCTTGTGCCCATTAGGGTCATAGAATGGTTTGGGTTGGAAGGGACCTTAAAGATCATCTAGTCCCACCCCCTCTGCCATGGGCAGGGACACCTTCCACTAGACCAGGTTGCTCAAAGCCTCATCCAGCCTGGCCTTGAACACTTCCAGGGATGGGGCATCCACAGCTTCTCTGGGCAACCTCTTCCAGTGCCTCACCACCCTCCCAAGGAAGAACTTCTTCCTGATGTCTAATCTAAACCTCCCCACTTTCAATTTAAACCCGTTACCCCTTGTCCTGTCACTACAGGTCCTTGTAAAAAGTCCCCCCCCCAGCTTCCTTGTAGGCCCCTTCAGGTACTGGAAGGTGCTATAAGGTCTCCCCGGAGCCTTCTCTTCTCCAGGCTGAACAAACCTGACTCATTAATAATATTACTCTTAATTTCCAAATAAATCTTATGCCAACTTCAGTAAAGCTTTTGTGAATAGTGGTGCACGCTGTGATGCTGTGAAAGTCAGTTGTAAAACTGATCACCTGAGGTCAAATTCTTCTCTCCTTTTGCCATAAGCATGATAGATGGTAATGTAAACCAGTGTTCTGGGTTTTCTCTATCGCTCAAAGGAGTGAAAGGTACCAAACCCCGTAGTTATATCCATATGCGTTCAGGTTGACTGGAACATCCTTTGGAAGCATCTGTTTCTGTTAGACAATTTTAGGGAGAATGGAGAGGACCAGATTAGTGTCTGCAGCAAGCCTGGCTGTGGTGGAGGAACACCAGACCCATTGTGTACCACGACTTGTAGTTTTACTCTTAAATCTTTATGCTGCAGCGGCACGTGTCACAGTGAACTTGACTCAAGTGACTGTGTGGCCTTGCACTTGCAGGTGCAAACGTGAAGTGCACTTAGGTTTGCTTAGCAAGCATTGTTTTAACAGCTGAAAGCTAAGGATGTGTTTGTAGTGACATACTTCTGCAGAGATTCTCTGTGTTAAGGTTGAAAATAGTAACATATAGCTAATCATCAGTAACACAGTGTTTATAAAATTTCGCTGGAGTTTCCTTGTTATTTAGTTTCTGTAAAGGGTCTTGTTGCATAATTTCTAACAAAGTATAGGTATTACTATAATAACGCATCTTATTGTTCACATCTATTTGCATGCATGTTAATTTCATTAGTCCTTTGTCCTGTATTAATTTGGAATGCTTTGTAGTATAGCTAACAACTGAATTCCCGGCAGAAAACCATCCAAAGGCGTTTCTGTTTTATTTTTGATAGACTCAGCTTCGAATTGATTCATTCTTCAGACTAGCACAGCACGAAAAACTAGCTATTAAAAGTCAGCGACTGCGCAGAGCTGTGACTTGCCTGAAGAGAAAGGAAAAAGAAGCAGCTGATGAAACTCGGGAGGCTACTGCTGTTATGGAGGTGGAACTTAAACAGCACGAGGAAGGTACCGCAGGCGGCGCCAGTCACCAAGCTGTGGCAGCAGAATTCCAGAAGGGAAATAGAATAAAACGTTCACATTCTAGAAAAGAACATTTGTACGGTGGTGGTTTTATTGGGAATTTGCATCTTTCAGAAACTTCTAGTGACTCTTCAGTAGAGGATTCGAAAGGCAGGGATTTAGACAAGAGCAAAAGGAGGAAAAACGTCTCTGCAGTGGAGACAGGAGCCCTTAAAGAGAAAAGGGGGTGCAGTAGCTCAAGTGGTGAGGATGAGGAACTGGGAAACGTAGTCATGGTGACTGCCAAACCTGTGTTTGAGGGCAGAAAAAAGAAATCACGGAGTAGGAGGGGAATAAAAAAGAAAAAGCCTTAAAGAGAAAAAAGTTTTAAAAAAGAGAGACTCTGTGCCTGGTTTTTATGAACTAAGCTTTGTAAATATCCTAATGAATTTTTGGTTATAAAAATAATAAATTATCCCTATTTGTCGTGTATTTGTCATGCGTTTTTTGTCTAGAAGTTAAATAGGAAGGGTTTTAAACGATGAAAAAATACCTGTAGCACACTGACTCACAAAGACCTAGATTGGAGTTGACAGAAGTTTTCTGGTTTGAGATTTTAAAATCGGGCCAAAACGTGATGTCGGTTCATTTGCATTCTAACTGAGGTGAGAGCTGTTTAAAATCCCATACAACCCCTTGCTGCTTTAACTTCAGACTTCAGTGCAGTTTTGAAAACTGCTTTGATTCTTTCCAGATGTTGCCAGAAGGAAAGTGAGTTCGATGAGGTTTGTTCTCCTTATTCCCTTCACCAGGCCTGTCTTGACAGTTCTGTGCTCAGCATAATGGCGCTTCCTGGAGTGTTCGTGAGACAGCGTAAGGCCTGGTAGGATCTCCCAGGAAACCAAACAGTGCAGTAAGTCCTAATACAGTCTGACGCGCGGCAGTAGTTTACGTCCTGAGCGTAAATGTCACGCTTCGGTATTTGGAGTTACACCACCTCACCCAAAGGCAGAACCTGTTTGCGACAGTGATAATTTGGAGCCGTCCGCTGGCTGCGGTGCTCACGTCGGGTTAATCTGGGTGAGAAACAATGTGTTCGGCTCAGGCTTCCCCCTCACCTCTGTCTCTGGATGATTGCAGAATTTATTTATAGCTCCGGTGGGAAAGCACCGAATGCTGCCAGTTGTACTTGGGTTCTCGCGTTACGTCCGAGTCCTTGCTTTTTTTGGTCCTCTCGTTCACTATTTCTTGTTCTTTCGTCGTTGTCTGAAAGACCGAGTCTGTACAATTAAGTGTCGTATGAGACATTCGCCTCCCCTGGAAGGATGAAGGGCCGAGGCAGGATTTGGCCCTTGTAGTTGCAGGGGGTCTAACACTTCACATACTTGCCCATTTCCTGGGCAAAACCCACTCCCTTTTGGTACTACTTCTGTAAAATATTACCACATTTTTTGCAAATCCTCAGTCTGGACAGACGTTTTACGGCAGTGGTTTGCAGATGGACCTTTAATATTACTGAGTTTTGCTTTGGAAGGGCGGATGGGGTCTCGGTGGTGGGCTTGATGGTTCCTAAATGTAGAAAAGCTCCCATTGTTTTTTTCTGCCGAGCGTGGTAAAGTACAGAGACCTTCGGTTCTCTGTAGGGCCTGCTCGGTAGTACCGTGCAGTGATGTGTTGGTTGTCAGCGGCACCTAGGAGCCTCTGTTGAGGTTGAAGTTTTCATTTTGCTAAAAACTGGGGGTGAAGTAAGAGACGGTTCCTGTCCCAAACTGATTACAGACTAAATAAGAGAAGTCTCGGGTGCCTGCGTGCGTTCCCATGGCAGGAAGCGGTTGTGATCTGTTGAGCGCAGGTGCATCGGGTCTGTACAGAAGAGGGGCCGGGAGTGTGTGTGCGTATTTTTGCACATTGACAGCTGTCTCGTAGGGTAAAGTGGGGCGGGATTCCGGGGGTTGCGTGCCTCGTTACAGTCCTGCATTCCATCGGGAGCTTGCGTTTACACACCCCTGCCCCTTTATAAATTGCCCTCTCTGTCTGGGAAGACCCCTTTGACTCTAATTAATATTTTCTACCCCCTCTTTGTTTCCTTTTTACTAACAGTGGGTGGTTACTAACGCTGTGCCGCTACCTTATTTCTGTGAAAGCCATTCCCCGGTGGGTTAGCTCACCGGTGGGAGCTGCCTTGACTGGGTGCCGGCTGCTGTTACGAAATCTGCCCCCTTACGTAAGGGGCGCGCTGCCCACGCTGTGTGCGCGCTGCAGCTGTCGGGATTTATTAGCGCTTCTGGAGAGGGGGATGTTGGCACACGCTTCCGCCGGGGGAGGGAGACGGCTGGGCAGATAAGGGCTTTTTGGTTTGAGTACCATCTTTGGAAAGCTGCGGGACACTCGGGTAATGTTGGCTGAAGCGCAGCAGGTGCCAGTGGGTATTTCGCTTGTCGGTGTCTTTGGGTAATTTAGTTGGTGTCGTTTCCTTTAGACGGGGTGACGCAGCAGCTGAGCTGTTCTGCACTGCTTCGTAGCTTGTAGTGGTCCTGAATTCCTATCTGCAAGTCGGGCAGGTGGTTGTGTGGTTCAAGGTGCATCAAAGGACATTTTTAGAAGGGGGAGAAGGAAAAAAAAAATAATGTACAGGACCGCAAAATACAAAGGTTTTCCCTTTTAGGGTGATTTTACAGTGCTACGTTGCTTGTCCTTCAGAATGCAGAGGGGGCTGATTATTCACCTGCTATTTTTGTCTTCAAATGGGAAGAAAATGTGTCTTTTCTTTTGCATGCTGCTGAGGTTGTTGACAAGCTGATAGATGTGTGTAACGTTTACTGGTTAACGTCGCAATGGTTTCTGGTGCTACTTAGTTATTCTGAAGATGGATGCAAAGGCTTTGAATCCCATGGAGTCGCTTTTCTGTTCCCCGTGTGACCGTGTTACTATCGCTAAGTTCATAGGTAGGCATAGTTAGGTAGTTCATAGGTAGGCATAAATGTAGCAGTGATTTTGTTCTCTGTGTTATGGTGATGTCCTCTGTGTTATCTTTCACCCTAAAAGAGGTTAATGGCTGTGGGACCGGCGGTAGCAGAGCCAAATGTTAAACCTGTGTGTCTTTTGTAGGGTGAAATCAAGAGAGTTAGGTGCATCGTCTCTAATAAGGCAGGGCTGTTTTGCACTGTCCTCTTTCGTCTGAGGCTGTCGGAAAACCAAAGGCTTTGCACCGTGAGGAAGTTTTCTCGATGTTCAGCATACATAGTAAACACTCCTTCACTCATTGCCTTATTTAATTGCATCCTTACTGAGTGTTTAGAAATCTGTACGTTATGAACTGTGTGCTGCCCGTAACCATTCCTGCAAAAATTAGTCAAATTTCCATATAACAGGTCAAGGGCTTTAAAAATTATCAGACCATCAAGGTAGTGGGGTTTTTTTTTTTGAACCCAGTGTTTTTCTTATTGTACAATACCAGGAATTGGAGACTATTGGTTGTCTGCTTTTCTGCAGACAGCTGAAAATCGTTTTGCCCTCTCTCAGACTTTTCTTACTACTTTTTTCTCCCCAGTCTGCATGTTCTGTGCCTGTTTGTATAGGCACATACACGTTCTGGTCTGCATATTGTCTCTAGATCCTGCTTCCTACTTATTGTCATGTGCAACTTCTACTAATAAGTTGTTTCCTTCCCTTCCCAGACAGTTAATCTGAACAAGATTAGATCCTTTTGATGCAACTTTTCTTCTCTTTCAGACGTTTGCTGCTATCTTTCCTTTCAGTCGTTTATAAACCTACCAACTCTGATTTGAACTGGTTCTAGTTTTAAAATTTCATAAGTTTTAAATGCTTAGCAAAACTTTTTTTTTAATCTACTTGCATTTTCCCTTTTTTGTGAGTAGAACAGTTGAACTACTTTGCTGCTTCTAGTTCTTTTATGCTTTGAATATTAATATTTATGCCTCTACATGTCTTTATTATAAATGGAAGTAAATTATAGCATAATACATGTAATTTTTTTTGTGAAGTGTGATGTAGGGTAAAAGAAGTAAAGTTGCTTTATTCAGACAGGCTTGTGTTTCTCTGTCCAGGTTTTGTGGTGCAGTATGGATTTGACATCATTACAGCATAATAATCTACAAAGTGAAGTGGTAAGAGAATTGGAAAGACGAGAAGGTAAAATGTTTCTCATTTTACTGTATTTTCTTGTTGCTCTCAGGAGTATTGTTAAGTATAAGGAACAAGCTGTCTTGCTGATAATGAGCTATCTTCTCATTCGTTTTTTTGTGAAGAATTGTGTTTGTGGCACGTGTACAGAAAATGCAGCGGATCGCGCTGCTGTAGTATTCTAGCCATGCAGTATCTGCTATACTGGCATACTCTGCTCCCGGCAGCTTCCTCCCAGTGCCTGGCACCTGGCCGTAGCTATTTGCCTGTGAATGGTGCCAGGGAATAAAGCCATGACTACCATCAAGCAATTCAGGAGAGGTTTATTTGCAGGGTGTCAGTTAGGGAGAATTGGTTATTACATGCTTGGTTTCTGTCTAGACTGCCACAAACCTAATCTGCAGATACCTGCAGGGACTGTTGGCAGCTTTTTCTCTTAAGCAAGTTCATGGCTGCACACTTTTCAAGATCCTAAAACATCAGGAGTAATCTCCTTTTTAGGGGTCACCAGGAGTATGCAAGGTTTTAGGGCAATTTTGGTTTTTTGGGATGGGGTCTAGTTATGTTCCACAGCTGAATGTGGAAGGAGAAGGACTTTTAAAATTATTTTTCATAATATTTTTGTTTAAAATCTTATCTGAGTCTCAGTCCATGTTGAGCCAGGCTTTTGGGCTTCTGCTTTATCAGGAGGGCTCAGCGTCCATCTTTGCTTTGTTACCTGTTCAGTGACACAAGGTGGACCTTTGGGCATGATGGCAGTATTTAAAACTCATTATTTGTTTACTGAAACTAATGTTTGTTAATTTGCTTTCAAATACTTATTTTTTTTAAAGTGCCCCAAATGGATGTTTATCTGGAAAGCTGACATTGCCCAAGAAGGTGGTTGATAGAGAGCAGTATAGATTGCTGTTCCACAAAGCACTGTTCAGGTGCCTTCATCTGGAGATTCTTTTAATGAAATTACCTTTCCTATTGTCTGTCTAACTTGAACATGTTCAAGAACTCAAGTTCATCATATGCAATGAAGCATGATTGTTGGAGGAAAAAAAAATCTAGATGTATAAATATAAAGATAGAACTACTAAAGACTGAAATACTGGTGACTGGCACTATATATTCTGTAGTACACAAGGGCTGATGTAAAGCTGTGCAGGCATTTCTGTGCTTCTGCAAGCTTGGTTCTAATGTTTATATACTCTTTTCATGCAGGATTCAGGGTGGGGAGGAGTGAGTCTTCATGTAATGTTTTTTAGCTTTTGAATTAGGATAATAAATTGAGTTCTGGGACATTAGGTCAATGTATGAAAAATTAGTCAGTAGGGCAGAATCTTCAGATCAAATGCAGAATTATATTCCACTTAGCTAACAGAGTGTGTGGATAGTAATAGCAGGTGGTTCTCTTCCTGTTTAGAAGCACAAGTTTAAGAGGATGAGGAGACCTGAATGGAAAATAGAGTATCTTTACAGTTTCATCTGACACCAGGCTTTGGCATATTAAATTCCATGCCAGGTTCTGGAGGTGAAGGGTGCCAAACCTGCTGCACAGGGACTACTTGCCGGTTCAAGCACCCTGAGCCTGTGCCTTCCTTGTTCTCATCCTTTTCCTCTGTTGCCTTCCCCATTCAAATTTCATTAAGTTCACCTACCCAGACTCAATCTCTGCTTCTTGGGGTTTTTACTTCAGTTTCTCTGCAAGTTTCAGTCTGAGCTCTTTACATTCAGTGCCTTCCCCTTTCCTTCTTAA